AAAGCCTGCGTTCTTCTTATGTTTATGCTCATGTCGCAGTGATGTCCAGCAGGGACATGGATGGCATAAGTATACATAACACCGACACAAGCATAGGCATAAGCATAAGCATAAGAAGAGCGCAAATGCATAGGCTTATGCTTATATCGCCGCCGTCCTAGGAACGCTCTGCCACTTAAATTTGATGGGGGAGTGAGGAAAGCCTGTTGAAGTTATAAACAGCATGGGCACGAAGAAACTGACGATGTCAAAGCTTGAATCTTTATCTGAGACTTACTCACGAAAACCGAGCTCGGAGGGCAAAAATTGTTCGCGACGCTCAAAACCCGAGTGCGAAGAGTGGAAAAAAGAACTAAGGGGACTTCGAAGCACTTCGAGACAACCCGTAATCTTTACAAATGGTTTAGCCAAATACGTTAAGTATGCTTTTCCAGTGTGAGCAGGCTTGCTGTGAAGCTGGTGGAAAAATGTGGCCTTTGCAAGTTGAGCAGGGCAAAAGCAGGGAAGGTTTTCCTGACAAGACAAAATATGGTTGAGCTCAATTACAGGATGTACGGTTTTCCGTTTTATAACAACTGTCTGAGTGCAAGTGTTGAAAACACGTTTGCCTTTAAACTGCGAATTTCTCCTACAAAGTATTAGTTAATCAAAGGGAGAGAAACGTAGTTTTCATTTCAATTTCATTGCTTCTTAAATTTATCACACGGTACTTTGATTTGTTAATGTTTGTGATTGGTACCTGACTGTTAGAAGTCCTTCTTGGTCAAGTTTAAATGCCAACAGATGACAGAGAACTCAATCAGCAATTCATTACGCAGTGTCACGGGACTTCGACAGGAAATTCCATGTTATTACTCTCTCACTCGCTCTGTAACATAAGTAACATAAACACGGATTTTATACACGCTCCAAAATTAGCCGCCATCAGCGATTTTTGCTTGGGTGGCCCAGAAAACAGGAAGGTCAAGTCTGACTCGACTGACAAGCTTGCAGGGTAGCCAAAGTACTGGCGGTTTCATACTGATATTTCGTGTGGTGGAGTTTCTCGAAACTGCGTGGAACAAAGTCGGGGAAGTGAACAAGAAAGACCACAAATCTCATTAAAACTGTTCAGTGGGGCTAAGCTCTTCCCTGTTGACTTCCGCTTCATTTATAAATGTGTGGATCCACAGCTGACCTAGATTTCCAGCCTCGTTCACTAGCAATGATGATTCTAATGATGACCGCATTGTGTCGGCATATATGGCTTCTGATGGATTTTAATGGCGTTCGCGCTAATTGTTTCTGCGCATCCTTACTGCGCACGCAAACTCACAACGCCAAGTCATGCATGAGAGCGCGCGCTAAGTAGTA